CCATGTGTGCCAGTAGGAATAAAAGAAGATAGCAATAATAGGGCATTAAGGTATAAACCGCTCAGTACCTTTGATAAAGTCAAGGGGAAAAAAGCTGATTTTGGGTACCAAAATGATTGAAAATCGATTTTGAGTGACAGAATCGGCCAAAATCAATTTAAATCGATCTAAGTCGCTTTAAATCGGCCCAAATAGCTGAAAATCGACCGAAATCGATTAAAATCGCCCAAATCGATTTCGACTGATCAGAATTGTTTTCTTCCCCAAATCTGATCCCCAAAGTCGATTATAGAGGATCAAAAGCGCCGGAGAAGATGTGAAATGTCGCGAAATCAGCAGAGACTGGGAGAAACGTGTTGCAAAGCCAAATATTCTTTAGTCATAAAAGGTATCCTCTTTGTTTGTATGTAGGCAGACCTAAATATGTGAGAAAGCTCTTCACTTCGTCTTTCATTACAATTCTTCTCTTTTTTCATTCACAGTTACATATTTATTTTGCAAATATCAAGAATATATATAGTTAATTAGCAGGATAAATAGAGAATAAATGAATCAAATTGGAAATAACGGTTCTCATGACTAGAAAGAAATGATACAATAGAAAGAAGAGTAGATATGATAGTCTTTTATTTTCGACTTCTCTTTGGCCGTGAAACTGCTGTTGCATTATTTTTTCGTTTCTTACTTGGAGCTGGAGCAGGTGAAGAAGTTCTTTGAGAAGAAGAAGAAGTTTGATTTTGCGTTAGAATCTGACTCAGTGGTGGGCGATGTTGATTCAATGATGTGTTTGTTGTAGTGGAAAACTGTTGTTGTGGTTGTTGACTTTTCTTCTGAAGATCTTTCACATAATTGCAATTATAATCTTTCAAATGTCTATAGAAATTCGATATGAGGATTTTTCCATTTGTCTTCGGCAAAACCAGAGTTTTACCACATTCGCACGTAATGGTACCTTCAACTCCGTTTGCTCATCTGGAAACATTCAACGTAAAATCAATACCATCGACGAGTTTTAAATTATCAATTCCTAAATTAGCTTCATTATCTTGACACCACTGTTTGATAGAATTTAAAATAGACTTTTTTTGTTGATTTGCAGTTAACGGCAGAGGAAGAGAAGTCGTTGCTGTTAATGCTTGTGATGTCAAAGGAGTTGCATTTGTTGGAACCGAAGAAGAAGTGGTTGGTGATGTTTTTCGACGTTTTAATTGTTCCTTTTGTTCTTTATCTTTAATTTTTAACTGTTCTTTAAATAAACGTAAACTATTTATAATGCCAGATTTAACCAGATAGTCACCACTGCTTAATTTAAAACACATTTGTTGACGTAATATATCTAATTGTACATCTTGCATATCGATATTAAAAATTTCACATGGATCTTCAGTGGCTAATAAAACTTTTGCACAGAAAATACGTTGAAATGACAGTAATTCTGCCTGCCCTAATCCATATGTGTCTTTAACGTAGTCATAAAATTGGTGATCTTTTAAGTTAAAAATATCTTGTGGCAGTTGGAGAATATCAGGTAAGACAGGAGTTGTCGACATTTTGAGATTTGTGTTGGAAATGAGATAAGATTAGATGTGCAGTTTACTTTTAGCAAAAGAGAAGAAAGAAAAAAGTGGCCACGGTTATTAATAAGAGAAGAAAACTATGTCTAGCACAGTTGACCGAACGAAAGAAGAAAAGATTAACCTCTTAATAAGAGAACGATAAACTATGTATCACACAGTTGTCAAAAAGAACAGCTGTTTTTTACTACTAATAAGGTTTTTTCATTTCTATAGCTAGACAAAGAAAGTTAAATTCGTACACTCGTATACAGACCCATGTTAAAAGATGTTAATTATTTTCTATAGCATCGTGAACATAGACAGATCTTTTTTATTACTTTTTCCTAGCATTTTGAAAGAGATAAAATGTCTGCTCTTATACTCAACCTCCATCAAGACTTTTTAAGTTTTTCTGCTTCGTTCAGCTATTAGGGAGGAGGCAGCTATTCGTACAGTTGTCTTTTTTCCTGATAATTCTGTCTACTTTTAAAAATTAGAAATAAAAAGTACACATTCTTTTGGATAGTACCGGTATTTCAATGGAACAAAATTTTTTTAGAAACATATGATTAGTGCGTGAAGTTCAGAATTCATGGGAAAAGCTCGCTCTGCGGTCGAAATGGTATATAGGAGCTGCAGAAAATACTCCGCATGAACGAAATCGAAAACCCATCTTGACTTTAGCTGTTGATATTTCAAAAGCTTATGATAGTCGTGAGACTTCCCCAATCTGTTTATTAGAAATGAATTTGCAAAAAGAGACTTTTCCTACCCTGACGAATTTTGTAGCTAAAAAGCTTTATTTTTCTGCGAAACTTCATTGCTTTCTGGGCTTTGAACTCCAGCAAATTCTCTGTTCATAGCACAGCAAAGCTACGTTGACCTCTACTAATGGAAGCAAAGGTGTAACATTTTTGCAACAAAAAAACTTGTTGGAGATAGGGAGATATTGATAATAGTTTTTTCATGATTGATTTTTTTCGTAACTACCGAATGACTGAAGGTTAGGAGCTGCGTTTTCTTCTACAAGCAGTCAAAAGTTTTCGTTTATCCATTGAAGAAAACCGAGTTTTTTAGTTTTATGAAATAGCTAGTTTGGCACATGCTTACTATGCTTCGTTTTCCTGTTGGAAAAGATAGTCTATCTATTGACTTTGCAGGTTTTTGTCAAACTACTTTCAAATTCTTCTGTATTGCTTGTTGAATTTATAAACCTTGTTTTTTTAGCACATCTTACTTCTTATCTGTATTTTAGATTTCTAAGGTGAAAACTACGATGAATGACGAAGAGTTTTTCGACCTTTCAGCCTTGCCAGATGATATTTCTTTATTGAAAGGAGCAGATTTTTTTAGTTTAGTCGAAAACTTACTTGGTGAACTTTACAAAAATATTCTGAAAGTACAAAACATCGACTCCGTTTTTTTATTCCTTAACATAAATAATATTTTTGAAATATTCGATTACGATCCACCAGACTTAATAGATTTAAAATCCAAATGTTATTTACAAAATCCAAATGGTGATACGTTATTGAAACCAGGTATTCAGAGAGGATTTGAATGTTTAACAAAATTGTTTAGAAAGAAATTTGAACATGTACAAACACAAGATACAACAAATTCTGATATATCACCGCATTCACTGACCGATATAATTGAATCACATCCTATCCTTCAATCGCTCGTTCGTTTCTATCAATCTCAGAATGGTGATCAGGCAGAAACACAATTTTTGTCATCATTAATCAACAACGTTACAAATAATTTGTCAAATTATTCGTCAAAAAGTCGATATCGATACAACGATTTTATTAAGAATTTTAGTTTATGTTTATACGTATTAGATGGTAAGCCCGCATATGAATTTGTACGTCAAAATCTGCCGAGTGCTATTCCTACATTAACGACTATGCAAACAATGATAACTTCGAATGAAAATAGTATTGTAGAAGGAAATTTTAGATTTCAACAATTACAAAAGTTCTTACAACCGTATCATCAAAAATTTGTTTTTGCAGTCGGGGACTACACGGGTGTTGTCCGTAAATTGAACTATTGTGCAAAAACCAATAGTTTTATTGATTTTGCAAGTCCTTTATTAAATGGTACACCGATTCCTTCATATTTTCAGACAGATGATTTTGATCAATTACAAACATGGTTTACATTAACAGAAAAAGCTAATTTATTAAATATTCATAGGGTGCAACCGGTTCCTTAAGCTAATAGTCATCACACACCCGGCACGTTTCTTCTTTCAGCGTGCGGCGTAAATAACAAATACAATTCGTTGGATATAATCCGTAGATGGATGGTTATATATGAAAAATGTCTCGAAAAAGACATAAGAATTTTTGGCTTTTCCACTGGTAAGACTCAGGAATTTTTTCGAGGGATTCAGAAAAGTGCAAAATGCACTGGTGGCCTAGCAAGTGCGACGAAATCACGTCTACTTTATCCTATAATTTTACCGTGGCATTAGTGGATAAAGCTGAAATTTTCAAAGAACATAAAAATTTATTTTTGCATATTCGCTTTGTTGGAATTCGTAGAAGAAAATAAGAGCTCCTGAGGATCTACAAAGTGAAAGTTTATGACGAATTCTGAGTGCATCATTTATATTTCTATGAGTTTCGTTAAAAATATGACAAACAAAATAGAGCGATGCTCGGACAGATCGCTTATTAACTATCTTATGGATTGCAACAGAGTCGCGTAAACCAAAATAGCGCAATTTCTAGAGGAGCTTTAAACTACTCTTACCTTTACATTTCTAACCTAGCGAAACAACTCCCTTTACAAGTTTCCGTTCGTAATAGTTGAAGAAATGATATGCTTATACTTATTCAGATGGCGATAATAAGTATTTACGCGCTATGCGTTTGGTCAGCGGATTTTTCGCCACATTTCCGAGCTATAAACTTCTGGCATCATCATTTCAAATTACCATAGATCAATGGCCATGGTTTTACTTACGTGAGCAACAGCTCTTTTTATTTCAAGATCCTATACATTTGGTAACGAAGTGACGAAATCGATTACTATCTAATACTGCTCAGTTGCAATTAGGAGAACAAAAGATAGAAATTAAACATTTAGAAAACATATTGAATAATCGCAATTATACTAAACTCGATCATGGACTCACAAGAACTGACATTAAACCGAAAGATCGACAAAATTTCAAATCATGTACAAAAATTTCATCTGAGGATGTCATCAATATTCTTTTCGAGGAAGAAGAAGCACAGGGGACAATGATATACTTGCAAATGTTAAATTTAATAATTACAACATACATCGAAAGATCTACTAGTGTCGAAAAAAGTGGGTGTTAAGTTAAGTTAGCAGTTACCAGGAGAAATTCAATCGCAATTTGTACCATTTCGTTTTGTCTTAAGCGTGAAAGTAAGGAAGACTCAAGTGTGGCGGACTTCGCGAACAGAAGCTAATACTTTCTCGTTTACCAGGATCGTTCCTATCGCCATGAATTACGCGCGATAAGAAAATTCTACAACCAATGAGACTCGCTCTTATATACAGCGTATTTTAAATTTTCGGAAGGTAACTTTCATCTGGGAATTAGTGAATATTAACTGAAATAATAACAAGTCACGGGAAAACAATCCGAGATTTTTGCGGCGGAAGCAAAATTGACGGTCCTAGCCGCAAAGTAGTAAATGAATAGTTTGAGATTAAGCCTGGCTATAAAAATAAAGTGTTCTGTTCTTAAGATTAAGCCAGAAAAAGATCTCTGAGATAATAATTTAATTTCCACAAATATTTTTTCCCTGTTGTTTTCAAGGGTTGGAAGGTGCGTGGTGTCTAGTGTTCGTCTGTCGATTGTGGTGGGGTTGGTTGCTAAAGAAGAACTTTGCTGCTTCATCTTCATCCTCATCTTCAAAGCACAAAACCAGTAACGGCAAAGAAAAATATTTCATAACAAGAACTGCATTTCTGTCTATCGAAATCAACGCCCATTCATTACTATTGCTAATTCTTCTGGTTCAACAACAACAGATTCCGAAAGAAGCCTTGAATACACATCTTTTCAATTCGCAATCGTGCGAATCTCAGTTTCGTAACGCAAGAGCTCTCAGTGGAGCATACTCCACTATAGTTAATTTTACCGTACATGATTTTTTACGTCGAGCTAAAAAGTTTTCAATGTTGAACGATTTAAAATCCAAAGAAACAGATCAACAGAAGTTAAAATTTGCAGTTCATCATAAACACAGACACGACCAAGAAATGCTGGAAAAACAAAACTTAGGAGATGTAAGAAAATTAGAAGTAGAAGAAATCATTGGAAGTGTTTATACAAGAGCAGTGGAATTAATTAAACAGTTCAACATAATACCAGCTTTGAAGAAAAATAATATATTTAAAATGAATGATGTAAGTGAGTTTATTAGTAAACAATTAAAAACAAAATCAAACCTGAGTGACAATTCTCAAATGAAAGAAGATACGGATGATGACAATGATGATCAGAAGGAAGAAGAACATCTGAGTGGTGACGAAGAAACGGATAGGAATGAGAAGAGCAGTGATGAGGAAGATGAGATTGATTTAAACAATATTAAAACGATTAAAACTGATCTACGTGGGATGAGAATTCGACATGAAGTACCAAAAGATCAACAGAATTGTTATTTTAAAATAAAAATCAATGGAACTGAAAAGTTTTTGCACAAGCAAACCGCTTGTTTTCTATTAACAAATGAAAATTCAACATTATCTTCAGATCGACTATCTCGTGTGATGCAAATGAGAAAGAAATAGATTTAACATTTTCTTTTTGCTTTATTTATAAAATGTTTGAGTTCTCCTTCAGGTGTAAATAAATTGAGAAAATCTATCTCTTGTACGTTTTGCTTTTTAGAGCTTTCACTCTCGATGAAAAGCATTGAAATCAGTTGACAAACCTACAAAATCTAAGATAATCGGCCAAATCGGTTGAAATCGATTACAGTCGTCCAAAATCTATTTCGGTGATCCAGAATCGATTCAAATCGCTCAAAATCGGCCAGAATCGAAAGAGCTCCAAAATCAGCTTTTCTCCCCTTGGATAAAGTGCAGTATTTTTGAAAAGGCCTCAGTTAATTGCTCAGCTGGCAGTTGTCTAATTGTTGCATGTCTTAAAACTAGCTAATCATGATGAATTCTATCACAATTCAACAGCACTTTCAGTTTTATGACAAGCTCGTTCCTCTGCTCGTCGTAATATAGCAGAAAAAAAAATAATGAGTAGTGCTTTCTTTTTCTCCACAAGATCAAAATGGTGATGGGACGAGTTTACGGTGCTCTAAAGGCTCATTCAGCTGAGGAAATTCAACAAGAAGACGGAGATGGTGAAAAATTTTCTTAAAAAAAAACAGTATTTTTATCGCGCAAAACGCATAAACGCGAAAACGCGTTTCCCTTGGTGTACTTTTAAGTTTTAGCCTTTCAAAACCCGCTCAAAACCTCCTCTAAAACCTTGAAAAACAGTTTTGCGTGGGTTTCGCGATATGCTCTTTCATACTCACGGATCAAAATTTTTTTTACTGGAAATGGTTTTTCGACCCCAAAACCCAGTATTTCAAAAACCGGGTCTTTAAACTAAAATTGGGCCCCAACCAATGTAATATTCAGAATCAGGACCCTCGATTACCTATTGTCCACTAAGTTTTGGGCCAAAAGCTTCTGGACAGTTGGAAGCCTTCCCTCGTGAGTCGTACGCTCAAGAAGATAAGTCCTGCTAACTAGCTAGAATCAAACACCTGGTGAAGCAAAAATGGAACAACGTGACAATGTATTATTCGCGATGGGAGTCTCGGTGCTCCAGTAGCAATTTATGCGCGATCGCGACATGACTTCGCGAAAAGTAGATAGTCGTGGCATGTTTTTGGGAGAAAAGCAGGGTCGTGGTACGACATCGCGACTTCTTTATGACGATAACACAAGAATAACGGAACAATTTTGAGAAAAATTGAATTTTAAAAAGAGCTATGAGAGTTTTGCTGGAAGCCCTAAAACATGCATCAGATACTGGCGCCACCATATCTCGAAAGCGACTTTCACCTTAACACCATTTTGTAGCTGCAAGATTTATCGGTAACGAAACATCGTAGAGAGCTTGAGAAAGTCTTAAATTGAAGCTGATACATGTGGCTAAAACTAATAGAGCACGATTTTCGCTATTCGATCTGAATTTTTGGTTAGAAAAGTATCTTTATGCAAGTTAATGAGACTTTATCGAATTTTGGACTTTTGACGCTGACCATTAATTTAAGTAAATATCGAGAAATCTTGGAGCTACGAACAGTCCCATTTTAGTCACTGTTATGGCGTCATCTCACAAACCATGCTTGGTGGAGCCAAATAAAAAGTTTCTTCACTACAGTTTCACAGGATCAGCATCTCCTAAAAGTTTGGTCAAGATCGGACTTATAGTTTCAGAGATAGGTTTCTGAGAAGGGGGATCTTAATAATTCAATAATAATCGAAAATCAGGAAATATTCAAGAAGTAATAGTTAAAGATTCTCTTGACTTCATAAAATACGAACAGCTTTTACAGAATCTCTCCACGAGGGCAACGACTTTCGAGTCAAACATGTGAGAATAATTGCAGATGTTTTGAACTTCATACCTTTATTTGTTGATATTTCGACCTTTAACCGATCATTTTCAAAAACGTAAACAGAATAATTGTACAAGTAATGAAAACAACTACTTTTTTTCTCTATTTTTACGACGAATAATAGAACGAAAAAGAGAAAATTCAAGACTAGGCCGATACTAACTTTATACATGCGCATATATAAAAGACTAGCGGAGGTACCCGATGTAGAGTGAGTTGCCTTGAACTTTTCCATCTTTAACAGGACCTTCCCCGCCGTGCATAAATTGAGATGCTTAG